AAAAATTTATAAGTATTTTCGAAATAAGTTGCGAAAAATTTACTCTGATGAGCGGGAAGTTACACATGCTGTACTGGATGCAACACTTGCTCGAGATCGATGAGATCAAGCAGTACAGTTGGGGTTCAGCTGTCCTGGCCGGGGTCTATAGAGGGCTCACCACGACCGCCAGAGCCGGGGAAGGCTGGATCAAGAACTGTGTTCAATTGATTCAGGTAAATAAATGTACTTACTTGTTATTACTTCATTCATTTTTTTATTATACTTTATCCTAATATATATTGACCAAATATTTATGTCGATATCTGTAGGTTTGGGCATGGGAACGTATCCCTCATATTAGCCCAAACATGAGGGATACCAACTTTGACAGAGTCCATGGTTGTCCCTTAGGAGCAAGGTAATCACATTTATTTGGGAAAATAATTGTGAGCAACCTGAACTATACGTGTTTTTGGGATTTGCAACCTAAAGTATTTTTTTTTTTGGTAAAATGCAACCTGAACTACATACACAATCACTATTTGCACCCTCGATCACATGTTGACCGTCCGATCAATAGCAAAAAAGGGCACGTGTATGGTCAAGATGTGGTCGAGGGTGCAAATAGTGATTCTGTATGTAGTTTAGGTTGCATTTTACCAAAAAAAAAATACTTTAGGTTGTAAATCCAAAAAAAAAAAAAAAATATTTCAGGTTGCTCACAATTATTTTCCCCATTTATTTATATTTAATACTTAGAATATTTTAACTATAAAATTTTGTGATTAGAATTTTTGGTTTTTTTTTTTATTATGTGATTTTTAAGGTGGGTGGGACGGAGGAATATGAAACACATCGGAAAGGGAACAGCCGCTATCCGAGATCAATTAACGTGGCTGAGAGAGAATGATGTAAGATTTTTATTAAGTAATATTGATTATTATATATATTAATTTTTCGTTTTTTTATTTTTCTATAACTTAAAAAATATTATTATTATTTTTTTACAGTTCAATTTGGGTGCCATATAAGCGCCACCTGGACGAGGGTACTCTCCCGGCCCCGTGTACAGAAGGTTCACGCCTCTGGATGTATAAGGGGTGGACCTTCTGTTGAGACATTCGTGAGCAGCACCTGACTGATAGGGTCATCCGTCAGTTCGGGTGTCGGCAAGCCATCCCCGACCCTCCGATCATTAGGGATTTGGCTGAGTACTAGACACACCACCGAGGCCAGAGAATGACTGGGAGGGCATTCTATGATTGGGTGGAGTA